GAGAATGAATTGTTATTATAATAAAATTTTGAGAAAACCAGAAATACAACTCAAGATTGTAAAGAATAATATTTATGTCACCCCACTTAAAAATAATAAAAAAAATTATAATTTAATTGATAAAGAGAAAACAAAAGGCCAAAATGTCACTCAATTATTTAAAATGGTAAAAGTTAAAAATAATAGGCATGCACAAAACTATGACAAACTATGTACTCTAGATCTTTAAAAAAAAATTATCCACTTGACACCAAGTGAAAACTATTATATCAAATTTGATACAGGCATCCCAAACAAGTTTACGCTAAGAATAAAAGAAATTGATATCAGCGTTGTCCCCTAAAAGATTTCTCTGTTGTTTATTAAATTTAAGAAAGAAAGATAAATATTTTGCTATTTATAGAATCAATATTAATTTAAAAGAATATAGTTAAAACAGCCGGAAAAAGTAGTTACTATAATTCTTATCATTTTATTATAGCAAAGTTTCTCATCATTTATAATTTTAAAAGGGAAATAATTTTAATTTTGAAGAATATTATTGATAGTTAAAATAAATATTAGTATTATTTAAATTTATAAATTTTGAAAAAAAAAAGTGTTACATTGTATGTAATACGAAACGCACATCAATCTGGACGTGCAGGAAACACGTCTTTATTTTTATCTCTTTAGTCTTTACTATACTAAAAGCCGCAAAAGCAGATTCTGGGTTTTGTTCGACCAGGGAAACGTTTCACCCATGAGATAAGAACAAAAGGCTTCGTCCTGGTTCTTACGGACGAAACATTTTTTTTTCTTTTATTTAATCTTATCATTTTTTCCTACTATATATTATTGTTTTCCTTCTTTCTAATATGATGCTTATAAATATTTTTTTCCTAATTATTATGTTCAAATAATTTCTTCTTATATATGTCCCTTCCTAATTTTTTTTAGAAATCATCTCGAATTTATTTCTTACATGTACCTAAATAAATAATCTTCAACATATATATAACAACAATTATTTATCCAACAGATCTCTGTTTTTTTTTTTTTTTTTTGCCTGATTTTTACTTTTTGCTTTAATTTTTAGCTCTTAACATCTTTTAGTCTTTTTTTTCTCCTCACTTTTCTGCTACTTTTTTTTTTCTTAATCTACTTTGTTAAAATAAATTTCTCAACTGTGCAATTACTGAAACATTTTTTTGTAGTCAATTTTTTTTCTTTCGAAAGCTACTCTCATAATTGTTTCCCCCTAATTCCTCTCGCCAAATAATTGTTTTTTTTTTTTTTTTCAGATGTATCCTTGCCCAAACATTTTTATCATACATTTTTCTTAAATATTTTTTTATATGCACTCCATTAATAATTTACCACTTTTTTTTTCTTTTTAAATGTGCTTTATTAAATTTTTTTCTCTTTTCATTAAACTCAGCTATTAGAAGAGTAATGAATAAGTACAATTAAATATTAGGCGAAATTTAAATTTTCATAAAAAAATGTGAGGAGTACACACGCGAGCGCATAATTATAATTAGTATATATATAAAAGAAATAAAATTTTATTCATAGATGTTAAATGATTTTAAAATAGCAAGTGCTTAAATAGCACCTATTCTAACATAATTATCGGATCGATCTAGTCGATTTTAACACATAAAAGACCAAAATGAAAGGACAAATAGTACCGTTAATTAGTCAATACAGCATAATTTTTCTATATTATGTGTCACACTCGAGATTACATTATTGATAGCATTGCATAATTTGTTGTTATTGTAAGTCAAACTTCAGATTACATTGTTAATATAGCGTCTATTTCATTCATTATTTACTTTATAGCTACATCCTCAACTCCCTTAAAAACATCACTCATTTTGCAACTGTCCATATTTACTACTCTCCGTATTCACTATTTAATATGTGAATTCTATTAAAATGTTATATTATTATTTAAACAAAAACTGAAATAGTAGAGTCTACATGTCAAACAATAAATACAGAGAGTAACAAAAAGAGTAACATAAAACGTGTTAGTATTTCTCCGACTCCTAAAAGTTTTATTTCATAATAAGAAATGTTATGGTTACTTGTTTAGTCGGTCTCTTTCTCACTCTTTTTGTTCTCTTCTTGTCACATGGCATCCCAATTTTCGATAAAAATGAAGCATAACAATGAACCAATATTTTACCTTTAATTACAACTATGCGACTCTTTAATAAGATAAAATTAAATCATTTATTCCTCACTTATTTTTATTATTTTATAAGTATGTTGGTTTTTTTTTTGGAGAGTTTATAAGTTCGTTTCCTTTTATTTTAAATATCAAACCATTTTGCAATATTTTCTTTACGAACTTATACAATATTATATACTTTTCAAGAAAAACTTATACATCATATATGTTATATATATATAACGGTTAATTTCAACAATATATATACATGATAATTTAAAGAGTACATACGTTTTTAAACGTTATATACGTATTATGTTAGGCAAAAATTGTCTTTCTTTTATTCAGAACAAAGAATAACTGTTTTTCTTATGCCGTATACGTTTCTTTTAAAGGAAAACGTTATTTATTTATTTATTTTACTGAATATGGCAAACGTTATATTATAAATAAACGTTCTTAATAGCAAGCTGATAACATTATAAAAAAGGTAATATTGTTGTAATAAATTATAAAACAAACCTTGAAAATTTTCTTCTACTAATAAAATGAGGAAGCGCAACGTTGTAATACTAGGTATAATATTGATTTCTTGTTCTGCTTTATTTTCATTGAAAAGTAGACTGCCATGCGGCAAAAAAAGAACAAAGAGAATGAGAAAAAGAGCAACGAAACAAGTGATCATAACATTTCTCGTTTTACAATAGTAAAATGGTAGTCATAACCTTTATATCGCATAAGGAATTATACAAATAAAAATAGGTAGGTGGATGAATAATTGATAGCTCTATTATTTTAGATTATTGATTGGTTTTTAAAATGTAAATCCAATAAAGAAATACCAATAAAACGAAGGTTGGTAAAAGAGAAAGAGACAGACGAAAGTTGAGTGATGCTTTGTTTGACTTAAGAGATAAGCTTAAGAAGAAGCAATCTCCACCTTCAATAATAAAATAAAAAATAAAAAAATAAAAAAATAAGGAAGAAGAAGTAATCTGACGTGCAAATGTCAAGGAAGGAAGGCGGTTGGCGTTTAATTTATGCATAAACCATGTTAGATGTAATCATAGAACAAAACTATTTTATACATCTTTTCAAAAAATAATAATATATTTTTGCATGTTTGGTTTTTAATTGTTAGTGGCCATACCACGCCAAAATAAATCCGTTGACTTCTAAATCTTTGATGCCTTAAATAAATAAATAAATAAATAACTAATGATGTCGAAAATGAGTTAAAAAAATAAACATTTGAATATTGACTTGATGGATACTAATAACACACAAATAATATAATAAATAATCAAAATGACTGGATTCAAATAATTTTCTTCATATGAAAATATGGGAACGACAATATTCCCCCCGGTTCTACACCTTTATTTTTTATTTGTTGTCCCTTTTCTACTTACATTTATATAGAGATATTTCATTCTATTATTCTGTACGATTCAATAAGATATGTGTTTTTAAAATTTCAGAAACATACTAGGCTTTTAATAAAAAAAAAGTAATAGTTTTTATTAGATGAGGAAAGAATCATTACAAAACCAAAGACAAATAGTTAAATTGATCATTAAGACTTAAAACTATATAAAAAAAAAAAAAAAAAAGTGTAATGGAGCCTTTTACAAATGGTTCACAATGAATTGTCTTTCTTGCTTGCTTGCTCACTTGATTCTTTTTCTCTGGTCTTCTTTTTAATTCTTTGCTTTCTCATTATTATGAGCTTTTGGGTCTTCAACACCTTGCTGTCTTGCATTCCCCTTTTTTATTTTTTTATTTTTTGCGAGCATAATTTTACACATAAAGGGACTGGAAAAAGACCAGATGTCCCTGGAGAGAGAGAGAGAGAGAGAGAGAGAGAGAGAGAGGGCCTTTTTCCTGAAGTAATTAGAATTTCTTTAGGGTAAAATAGAATTTTATTTAGTTAATTTTTACATTAGATAAGAGGAATAAACATAAAATTGTTGAAAATGAGGGGGTGTAAATTAAAACAATGAGAGAACATATACATGTTTTAAAAGAAAACGAAAACCATAACTATGGCTGTAAATATGTTATTTATTATAATTGTTAATGAATAGTATTTTTAATTTGAAATGAAGATTTGTAAGGATAAAATATGTTTATTAATTAATTGCCCGTCCAGTTTTTTTCTTTTCTCTTTTTAGCTTTTTTTTTTTCCTTAAGTTTTTCTTCTCTATTCTTCTTTTTTCCTCTTATCTTTTTCTATTGAATCTTTCAACCTTTGATTTTTATGTAAATTCAACTACATCTTCTTTAAATACTTTTTTTACAGTTATTGAAAATATTTTTTTTTTCTAATTATCTTATTAAATTAATTCATTCTAAAATATTTCCCTACATAAACATTAAATCCTTATAAATTTTAACTTCCATTTGCTAAAAACAAAAATAAAAAATCCCCTTTTTTAGGTAAAGACGAACTAAATCCTTACTGCTGATTAGTACAACAAAGTTTCCAAGAAAGGAAGCAAAGTCAAGTCAAGATGTGCATGCAATATAATAAATCGTTAATAAAAGTCGTTTTTTTAGGGATACTGCTGATTAGTAAGACGAAGTTTCCAAGATATGAAGCAGAGTCAAGTCAACACGTTCATGCAATAAAAATCCTTAGTAATACAAAAAGTCTAATATGTGCGGCGGATGTCATATTAATAATTAGCAACTCTGACATTTTCTAAGCTTCTTGACTACCTACTCCTTTCCACCCAAAAAAAGAAGAAAATTACCACCTACTCCATAATTGGCAAAAGACAAGTATATCCTTAACACACTATAAAAACACGTCTCGGTCTATCCATCCATTCACCACCACTAGCTATAACATTCCATAAACTTGATAGACTTTATATCAAAAGTAGCTTAATTAAGGGTAGTTCTTAGTGAAATTATGGCCAACGTTATTCCAGTGAAAAAGTTGGGCTCTACAAACTACACAGTTCCAGTTTCAGGCTTTGGAACGGCCACACATCCTATCCCGACACCAGAAGAAACAAAACAGGCGGTTCTCACCGCGATTAAACTTGGGTACAGACATTTTGATACCGCGCATATCTACCAAACAGAGAAACCGCTCGGCGATGCAATATCTGAAGCTCTTTCGCTTGGACTGATCAAATCAAGATCGGAGCTCTTCATCACTTCCAAGCTCTGGGCCACCGAAGCTCACCCTGAACGCGTCTTGCCGGCCATAAAGAATACACTCAAGTAAGGCAAATTATTCGTATTATTACTCAAGAATTTAACTGCAGTATTATTGTTATATATTTTTACATCTTTTCCTATATATATATATATATTCGCTTATATATGTTGTGTTCTAATTTTCTCATGTGTCTAATTATATGCAGGAAACTTGGGACAGACTATGTTGATTTGTATCTTATTCATTGGCCGGTGGCGTTGAAGCCAGAAACAAGTTTCCCCATCAAGAAGGATGACCTTCTTCTTTTGGATTTTAAGGGTGTTTGGGAAAGCATGGAAGAGTGTCAAAGACTAGGCCTCGCCAAGTCAATTGGTGTCAGTAATTTTTCATGCAAAAAATTGGAGACTCTACTTTCCACAGCAAAAATCACTCCAGCACTTGTTCAGGTAGTTTTCATCTCACCTCTCTTCTAGTCCAATCCTTTTCTTTTTTTTTTCTTTTTTTTTTTAACTCCCTTTAGTTTATTAGTTGTGATTTTTATACGTTCAATATATAAAACTAAACTCCATATATGCCTCATCTTTTTTATTTTGAAGGTTGAGATTAATCCAGTTTGGCAACAGAAAAAACTAAGAGAGTTCTGTAAGGAAAGAGGAATATCAGTCGAGGCATATTCTCCCTTAGGAGGCGGCGACAACAAAATAGCATTTTGGGTGAAAAATAGAGTCGGACACAATCAGGTGCTCAAAGAAATTGCCGAGGCCAAGGGGAAAAGCCTTGCTCAGGTATATTTAACTTCAATTCTTTTCAATTTCAGAATTTAAATAAATTCTTAAAATGATGATATATATATATAGGATCGACTTTCTCATTGCTTTGCAACTTTCTTTTGTTTTTTTTTTTGGTGTATGAAGATTTGTCTTCGATGGCTTTATGAGCAAGGAGTTAGTTTCGTCGCAAAGAGCTTTAACGAGGAAAGATTGAAACAAAATATGAGCATATTTGACTGGGAACTGAGCGCGGAAGATTTAAAGAAAATAGAGCAAATTCCACAGGCAAAAGGAAACTCTGCAGCTTTTTTGGTCTCAGAAGCAGGCCCTTACAAGACTGTTGAAGAGTTTTGGGATGGAGAGATTTAATTAAAATGAATAGCAAAAGCATAACTTACCAGTGAAGGGTATACAAATTAATAACGAAGGAGTTGGAGTACTCGGCTAATAGAAAGTTACAAAAGTCCACGTAATACACTTCATGTCGAATAAATAAAGAATCCAAGAACATGGAAGGGCATCATATAAGGTCGTATTTTATTGTGTAATTTTCTTATTTTAATTTTAATTTTTTGTATCATTTGCTTTAATAGCTTGTATTAAATATATATCATATGAGTGAAACTTAAAATAAAGATAAGCTTGAGCGTAGTTGTGAATTTACAATATGGTCTCTCCCTCAAAAGAAAAAAGTAAAAATAAAAAAATCTTACAATATGGTCTCAAGATACAGTTTTTTTTTTTTCATTTTTTTTTTTTCATTTTCAAATGATTACTATCTTCATAACATGAAATTAATTTGAGCTCCCTCTTTAACAAAGTTGACTCCAAACAACCCTATCATCATATGCACACATACCAGCCTGTCAATATCAAGCACCAATTAATCTTATTTAATGAAATTGATTGAGTATATGATGTCTGGTCACTTTGCAATATTCGTACCATAATTTGAATTATGGTGTTATTTCTCATAAAAAATACACGTAAATTAAGAATAATTTTAAATCTTAATTTTAAATCTATAAACTAAATATCCATTAAATTACTTCAAGCGGCTCTTATTCATCAAAATTCTTATGTATATTTCAGTATGTAAATTAATGAAGAGCTCCCGCACAACTCCATAAGGAGAGTTGCAGACTTGCATCAACTTTTTCGAGGTGGGCCCGACCCAATATTGCTATTTAAGAGTATATAGTGTGATACCGACGACTAGAGGTGTGTCGGTGATTAAAGATTCTGAGTGCTAATATTATTCTTTTCGAGGGTTTTAAATTAGAATGTTTACCTCTGTTAGTCTAATTCTTTAGTTACGAGCATTCACGTAAGACTCAGATGGCGAGCTTTAATTCATTGATAGTAGGATTTTTAAGGAACATTTCCATCGGCGAGCATTCCTATCAGCGTTTGAAAAACTCTTTAAAACTTGTACGCTTGAAACTTCTATGCCTATTCATACGCACAATTATTATATTATATTAAGATAGATTGAAAAATTAGGAAATAGAAGCTAATAGTTACAGCAAACTTAAGCATACGATATTTTTAAAAAAATAAATAAATTGAAACGTAAGAGACATTCTTAAACATAAAAATGGAGAAAAAAATAAAAATACCACTCAAAATAATAAAAAAATATTATTTATGTCACTCCACTCGCAAACAAAATAATTGCCATTTAAGTAATAAAAAAAATAAAAGATCACGCAATAGTATCAATTATTCAAAATGGCATTAATTATAGGTTTGTACAAACTACAAAGTATGACAAATCACGTAATCTTTAAAAAAAAAAAAATTGCATTTGTCCACTTGTCTACTGGTTATAATTTAACAAAAAATAAAATAAAATACACAGCTGTCTCCTACTAAGTCAAAATGCATATTTTTTTGCTGCAAAATTTGTTTGACGAACTTACATGACTAGCAGCATCATCATGTTCATTGCATTGTGACCTTTTCCCATGCTTGACTTGAGAAAGATAAAACGTGGTAAGAAATTATAAAATTATAGATGAATTACTTATTCAATGGTTGCATTTGACAAAGAAAAAAAAAACGTGTAACGTACGTTTTACTATCTTGAGCATTGTACAGTGCATCAACTGTCTACTCTTTTTTCTTCCCCTTCAGTTTGAAGATGAGTAGAAAAGGAGGATAAGACCACGAAGAGGCATTTATATAAATATAAATATACATATATATATATATATTCTTTCTTTCTTTCTTTTTTTCCAAGTTTTTTTGTTTCTTTTTCTTTTTCCCTTGATTGATATATAATACTTCATTACTTTTTGGAAATTTTCAACTATATTACATTAAAGAATATAAAGCTTAGCAACTCTTTGTTTAAGGAATATAAATAAGACTGTTTATTTATTCGACTTGAAGTACTACAAAAACAAACTACAGGAATAAAGGGATTTAGCGCTTTTAGCTTAGTACACCAACTAGGCAACTCTTTGTTTATCTGTCTACTTTCTGTACATACCAGCTTTTTACTTCGCAATGGATTCAGGTATATCGTGCTATTAAATTTCTCGATGCTTTAACATGTGATTTTGGTATGTTGAATAAAGTTCTATTGCCTCCAAATTTTCTAACAGACAAATCTTCAAGCGCAAAAAAATTGTAAAACAATGAGAAATTTGATCCTGTATCCTTTTTAAAGAATTAATTTTAGAGACTTTCTTGGGTACTTCCTGTAAAAATATACTACCCGTAGTTTCTTACTTTTCGGTTGTTAAATTTGTATTAAAATATGTCTGTTCTGCGTATTTTTTCAGTCTAATGTGATTTTGATAAGATTTAACGGTCAAAAACTAAAATTACTAATAGGGTGAACTACCGAAAAAACTCCATTTTACCCAAAATAAAAGGAATTAGTATTAGTCTATCTGAGCAAGGCTTTTTCCCTTTGCATTGGCAATTTCTTTGGGAACCTCACAATCTGTGACTATAGTTTTCCCCGAAGATAGCCCGAACAAAGTTGACTCCAAACAACCCTATCATCATATGCACACATACCAGCCTGTCAATATCAAGCACCAACTAATCTTATTTAATGGAATTGATTGAGTATATGATGTCTGGACACCAATTAATCATAATATTAATCTTATGCATATTTGAGTATGTAAATTAATGAAGAGCTCCGCACAACTCCATAAGGAGAGTTGCAGACTTGCATCAACTTTTTCAAGGTGGGACCGACCCAATATTGCGATTTAAGGTATATAGTGTGATACCGACGACCCGTGTGTCGGTGATTAAAGATTCTGAGTGCTGGTATAATTCTTTTCGAGGGTTTTAAATTAGAATGTTTACCTCTGTTAGTCTAATTCTCTGTTTTAGAATATCTAAACCATGCAACCATGTACCCTTGTTACGAGCATTCACCTAAAACTCAGATGGCGAGCTTTAATTCATTGATAGTAAGATTTTTAACGAACATTTCTATCAGCGTCGATAAAACTCTTCAGATAAAGTACTAAAGTGTGATACTCACTCGCATACATGCACATTTGCACAGTTCCATGAGCTCCTTGAGACTCGTACGTTTGAAACTTCTACGCCTATTCGTACGCACAATTATTATATTATATTAAGATAGATTGAAAAATTAGAAAATAGAAGCTAATAGTTACGGCAAACTTAAGCATACGACATTTTTTAAAAAATAAATTGAAACGTACGAGACTTTCTTATACATATAAAAATGGAGGAAAAAAACCCAAAAATATTACTCAAAATGATAAAAAAAAATATTATTCATATCACTCCACTCACAAACAAAATAATTACCATTCAAGTAATAAAAAAATAAAAAAAACCACGCAATAGCAACAATTATTCAAAATGTCATTAATTATAGGTTTGTACAAACTACAAAGAATGACAAAAAAAAAAAAAATTGCATTTGTCCACTTGTCTGCTGGTTATAATTTAACAAAAAAAAAAAAAAAATACACAGCTGTCTCCTACTAAGTCAAAATGCATATGTTTTGACTGTACAATTTGTTTGACGAACTTACATGACTAGCAGCAGCATCATGTTCATTGCATTGTGACCTTTTCCCATGCTTGACTTGAGAAAGATAAAACGTGGAAAGAAATTATAAAACTATAGATGAATTACTTATTCAATGGTTGCATTTGACAAAGGAAAAAACAAAAACAAACAAACAAAAACAAACAAACATGTAACGTTGGTTTTACTATCTTGAGCATTGTACAGTGCATCAACTTTCTACCCTTTTTTTCCCCTTTCAGTTTGAAGATGAGTAGAAAAGGAGGTAAGACCACGAAGAGGCTTTTATATAAATATAAATATACATACATATATATATATATGTATATTCTTTCTTTGTTTTTTTCCAATTTCTTTTGTTTCTTTTTCCCTTGATTGATATATAATACTTCATTACTTTTTGGAAATTTTCAACTATATTACATTAAAGAATTTTGATCTTAGCAACTGGTCATTTATTATTAGTATGAATTTCGTTTTTTTGCTATTGAATCAATTTTTTAACTCTCTGATCTTTAGGAGTATTTTTAAGTCGTGCATTATAAATTTTGAACGTGAGCATTTACAGATCAAATTATTATTGAAAATTAATTGAACAATTAAAATACCATTCTGAAAGTAAAAAGGAACTTTTTTCGATAAGTCTGTCTATCAATAGAGTCAGATTTTGACTTTCAGATAGGATCAAAATTATATTAAATTGAAAAATATACATAACAAATCATTTTTAATACAGATTTAACAGTAAAAAAATAAAGAAGTATCAATAATTCATTCTTTTCGGTTCGTAAAAAATAACGATTTCTATTGTAGAAGTTTCTTTTTTATAATTCCACAACTTCTGATGGAACGTGATTCAACACTAAGGTTATGTTTTGTTCGTTGATTTAAGTTTTTAATTCGAATTGAGATGTGATTTTATATGAGAATTTTTTACTGTAACAAAAAAAATTAGATATAATTATTTCTGAGAGCTTTTTACTATAATAAAACTCAAATTTTAAACTCAAATCAGTAAAATAAATGGACTTAAGCATATACCACACGTGCACCAAACAAATGAATTATGAATGTAACAAGCTATCTCCGGTTTTGCACATTGAGAATCTTGACTTAGTGTCACGCCAATCGAGAAAGGAATATGGGTATATAATAATGTGAATACGGATAGAATCACTTTTTTTAAGACAGGTTGATCGTACCTGCCGGTAGGGTGAAATAACTCCTTTAATTATAGACAATAACGAAATTCGATATGGAAAAGGAGTAATATTAATAAGTAAAGTTAGTAGGAAAATTAATATAAGAAGTCTGAGATCATATACAGGGCATGTTTATTTAACTGATTTAAATTTTTAATTTAAATTGAGATGTGATTTTATATGAGAAATTTTTATTGTAGCAAAAAAATTAGATGTGACTGTCTCTGAAAGCTTTTTACTGTAGCAAAACTCAAATTCTAAATTCGAATCGGTGAAATGAACGGAGCCTAAAAAAGAAAGGAAAAATTAATTTTAGTATCCTCTATTATATCAAAATTTTAGTTTGATATTCTCTATTTTTAAAAAAAATTTGACGGTACCTCGACCTTTTAAAAAATATTTTTTTAGTACCTCGGAGCTATTTGAGACACGAAAAGATAAAATTGCCCTTATTATAAAAATTC